AAAATAATGAATGCACTGGATAAAAAGTGCTCGTTAAGAACAAAAAATTTGGTTTTATCCATTAGCAAAGAAAACCAATTAAATTGTGTTGTTTAAATATAATTGCACTAATGGAAAACAAAACTTTTGAGCTTAAATGCGGCTAGCACGATCATCCGTTAACCAATATCATGTCAATATAATGCCTAGAAAGCACCAGAGATAATCTAAGCATACATACCAAGGCTGAAGAACGGACTCCCCTAGCAACAAACTCATCATGGGTAAAAATTATATGAACATTGTTAAAAACTCCTGGATAATTGCGTTTTTGTCCTTCTTTAGAAGTGTTAATTTATAAATTTCTACAAAATTCCATTGAGAGAGCCATAAATGTGTTATTTTACTTTCCAATTTATCTCTTGGAGAATAATTTCACTTAGGGCACATTTCAACGGTCTAAATAAAATAATAGACGTTGAAATGCTCGTTAGTGATAACCTCAATAACCATTTTTCCCTTCTCTGTCGGACGTCCTCGTCATACTGAAACGAGGCAAATAAAATCAACCAAAGCACATACTATGTTCCTTGAAGATATCTATATAATATTACCTGGTATACTTGTTATTCTTTATTCATCAGTTTTTTTCAAATCCTCCACGTCAGCGGTGAACATTTTGAATAACTCCCTCATGTAATAACCTTATAAAATCATAAAATCATTTCCTAGCTTCTTGAGAGAGCGTCGAGTAAGTTCAATCCAAAAGAACGCCCAGAGGCAAAATTTTGAGCAGGTACGTGTGAGTAGTATTCATGAAACTCCTGTTACCCTTAGTGACACCAATCGTTTAAAGCCGTCGAAAGAAAGATTATTTTTAGCAACTCACATAGATTTGTTTGTTTGTTTTGTGCTTGTAAGGAATTGCTTCAGGCCTGTATGGGTTTGAAAAAAAAAAAAAAAAAAAAAAGGATCATACTGCAGCCCTGTCATTACATCTTAACAGGATCTCTTGATCTTACTAAAATTAAACGTGTCCCAATAAAGAATTTCAGGCACGATAATCTTTTTTTTCGTTAATGGGGGTTGTAATTATGTTATTATTGGTAGAGGGAATCAAACCGTCAGACGTTTCAAGGTGGCGAACTTAAATCCTTTCGCTGCCCTAAATCCAGCAAACACTACTAGACTAGAATTTCTGTCATGGTCTTGCAAGGTCAATGGGCCAGGAGTTGGTTAGCTTTATGGTGAGAAAACAAGTGTCTGGGCGTTACCTCACGTCTCTTCCAAACCCCTCATCCCAACCTCTTTTTTGCGTCTAGTCGTACTAGTATATGTGTTATAGATTAGATAATGCATGAGATCCAGCACGGCTCTGTGGAGCTTTAAGAAGAGTCACTTTGAGCACAGAAATACATTACTCCCGAAGAAGAGACGTTGTCTGTAGTTTTAATTTCTCGTCGAGAGTCAACCAAACGCGTTGCGTTCTTGGTCTGAACACCAGTGCCTTCCTTCACCCAGGAGTTTATATGAGTACCGGCGGGCAGGGCAGGGCAGCCTTATGAAATGTTGGAGAGAGGAGGGAACCTTGCAAAAGACTAGCGTCCCATCCAGGGGCAGTCGTAATACTCTTTGTCGCTTCATAACACTTGGAAAGCGGAATAAGGTCAGGGTGGACGGGGCAATATTTACCTTGTGCGTTTATGCACACAGGGCCTCGGCCAGATAACGCCAATGGTTTCTGTACCCCTCAACCAGACTCTTTCCCTCAATTCCATTTCTAGCTTTTTTTGCTAATTAGTTGAAAACAAATATAGCTTCAGTTATGAGGAATATAATCCCCATATCTCCTTGCGTTTTATCTGAAAAGATTAAAGAACTTTTGTGATATTATCATAGTCTTGGCCAGTCAGTGATTTTCTGGGTTTCGATCATGTGCAAAGACAGCTCGGCCAAGCGATGTAAACTAGACCATCATAAATACGTTTCTCCTCCCTTTCTACTAGCCTTCTGTCTTCCATGTTACCTACCGATAACTGCCGACATTTAACCCTCTGCTAGAGCGAAATACTTTACATTTAACTGTATGCGTTTGCTGCAAATGAGATTTTTATACAGATGAACCCGAGAGCGGGGCTTGCAGGAAAATTTTTGCTTTCATCTGTGGAGTTTGAGATGCGGTGATTAACTCGGCTTCTACGGTTTTTATTTTCAATTCAATGTTGAAGTTAAGTTGTTAAGGTAGATTTCGGCTACCTGTCCATAGATATCAGTGGTTTGGCCTATTTTGCCACATGCAACCAAAAGAGTTTCTTTTCAATGAATGTCCGAGTTGTTTAATATTCCTTAACGACGTAGAGAACGGGTCAACTAGAAATGACTTCTAACCTATCGCTGATATCAGCAAAAAGGCAGCGCAATTCCTCAATGGTGATTGAACACCAATCTTGACCTTGAGTACGACATTTCTTCAGACTTCCCTAACAATTCATATTTACTCCATCTTCATAGGTAGCAGGGATGGTGCAGTGGTGAGAGCGCTCGCCACTTACAACTGTGGCTCGGGTTCGATTCCCAGACCTGGCTTCACATGAGGGTTGTGTTTGCTGTCAGTTTTCGTCCTTGCTCGGAGGGTTTTCATTTTCTACGGTTTTCCTCCCTCCTAAAAAACCAACATTCTAATTCAACCTAGAGACAGTAGACAAGAAGAGCCACCTGGTGGATGTCTATTACAAAATTCCCATTCTCATATGTACTCTTTGGTATAGCCGCTGTAAAAGTAATGCGTTTTTCCCAGGAACACAACACAATGACCGGGCAGACACCTTTGTTGCGACACATACAGTCTTTCATGCCCCCTCTCCATGTTGGTCTGCAAGATGGCAGAGAAACATTGGCGATTAACAATGTTGGATGGGGGAGAAGGGTGAAAGAATCTCAAATACGTTGTTCGGGAGAGGTGTCCTACGTCTGAAGGTGCAGAGCTTCTCGACCGGGAGTCCAAAGAGTCCCTGCGTCTCCCAAATATTGCAACCTGTAAATTTGCCTTTGCTTATATGTTTCGTTGTAGTGATGTATGTTACTCTTTAAAGAATTTGCATGGGTTGATGATTCGTAATTAGCTGCGACACTTACATTACACATAGAAATATGAACGTGAATACTGTTTTTGACAATCATACAAATATTTATTTACGGTTTGTTTTAGCCGAGCAACGGTACTTCGTGATTCGTGATGAAGCAACGAACCACCAAAGAAAAAAAAAAAAAAGCTAACGACAAAATTGCACATAATCCTATAATCTTTGAACATGGATATTTTTTGATTGATATTACACACTCAAAAAAAAATTTTTTTCCTTAGTATTTAATCACGAATGTATAGTATGGTAAGTCAAAAAGTCCACAACTAGATTTTGCCTGAACGATTCTATAATGAACTTGCTCAAGATAGGTGCAATTAAGACAACTTCCCAACCATCACTTGTGCCGTTAAATCGAAAAAACACGTGTTTATTGGATTTCCTAGACTGATTTTGTTTAAAAAAAGGAGTAATCTTGGACTAAAATTTTAGATACGAACTATTTACGGTTGAAGTCAAGATCGAAGTCAAGGAAGAACTATTATTACATAAGAGTGTCTTTACTCACTTCCAGCCGGAATTAAAAAAAAGGTAAAGAGCAATTTGCCTGCTCTAAAGATTTAAGCTGTTTCAATACTACTGGGTTTCTCGAGGCTTTCGAACATTCTCTGTTTGCTTTTTAAATCCGTAGCAATTTCATGACATTTAAACAGACATTTTCCACAATAAACAATAAGTAACGCTTGAAATGAAAACGAAAATTTTTTTTTAAATAAAGATTTTCTATACGTCAAAAAAAGGTTTGACAAGTTCAAAGTAGACAAAATATGTTTTCATGAGTGAAAAAAACTGAACCATAATAGAAGAAAATCCTGAATAAATTGTAACGTTTGCTTGCTTTATTTTTTTATTTTTATTCCTTCAATTTTTAGTAACAGATTGAAAATTTTAAGGAATTTCTTGTACCATATCCCTCTTAAATTAGGGTTGGTTTTCATTTACAATTTGGACTAACTAGCCAAAGTCTTATGAGAGACGAAGTGGGTTGATAGTTAATGCATTAGACTAAACGGGTCGAAGGGTCTGGGTTCGAGACATGGCTGGGTCTTGGCAATTTGCTCGCTCTAAAGATTTAAGCTGTTTCAATACTACTGGGGTTCTCGAGGCTTTCGAATATTCTCTGTTTGCTTTTTAAATCCGCAGCAATTTAATGACATTTAAACAGACATTTTCCACAATAAACAATAAGTAACGCTTGAAATGAAAACAAGTTCAAAGTAGACAAAATATGTTTTCATGAGTGAAAAAAACTGAACCATAATAAAAGAAAATCCTGAATAAATTGTAACGTTTGCTTGCGTTATTTTTTTATTTTTACTCCTTCAATTTTTAGTAACAGATTGAAAATTTTAAGGAATTTCTTGTACCATATCCCTCCTAAATTAGGGTTGGTTTTCATTTACAATTTGGACTAACTAGCCAAAGTGTTATGAGAGACGCAGTTGGTTGACAGTTAATGCATTAGACTAGACGGGTCGAAGGGTCTGGGTTCGAGACATGGCTGGGTCTTGGGTTCTTGAGAAACACACATTACTCTCACGGTGCCCTCTACCACCAAGGAGTATAAATGGGCACAGGCGAATTTTCAGGGATGCCTGAATCACTTGCTTATGATTGCACGTACCCACATATTCCCCTCCTCCTGAAAAAGAAGATATCCAATTGCTCTACGTGAAAAAAAAAATTTCTTTACCTCCTTGCATCTGTAACAGATGTATTTGAACAAGATCTTACCACTTTCCCATGTTAATTGAATTTACGCAACGTGATCTAAAGAGAAAAAGAGCTTTAAACAAAAGAACTTATTAAAACTTGAACAGCTTCTCAGGTGAGCGAACAATTGCTGGTCAATAAATTTGCTGCAGATGAAACAATTTCACAACTTTGTTTCTGCACCGCTGGGAGGCATCATGAAGTGGCTTTGCCTTTTTGTTCTGTGCGGAGTCGTTTTCGCCAAGAATCCTGAAGGTAAAAATTTCACATTTTAGCTCTATGAGTATTGTTAGAACTTTTTTATATACGATTGGAAGATTCTTATTCACTGTCCTTTTTTGGGATTTACCAAGGTCACCAAAGGCCATAAAACCAAGTAGACTGAAAAGTACTTAGTTTTTCCCCCAGAATGCGAGAGTTCCAAATCTTACAAAGAGAGATAAAATATCACTTACATCTGTAATTTAGTAACTCATTCCAAATAATCGCCATTTGAATAGTTGCTTTAGTGTGGAGCATGAAAATATACCATTGAAACTGAAAGCATTTAAGCACTCGAGCCCAAATGCCGTTTTGTTTTATTTTGTCAAAGTGATGTAATTTGATATGGATAAGCTGTGGAAAGTAAACGGTTTTCCGATTGGTATTTTGATACTGAAAATAACAGTATGGTTTGTCGTAAATGAATCTCATTAGGGTAAAACCAAACGCGAAGTCTAAATAACCTAAAACGAACGTTCCTTGTAGAGAGTGACGATCTTTATGAAGGGGACATGATATTAACAGCCGATCAGCGCATGGCGGCCGAAATGGGACTGGATGTGGATGATCCAATGGGGAGAGGTTCAACCAAAAACAGACAGTGGCCGGGAGGGGTGATGGCTTACGTCATTGACTCCAGTCTATGTAAGTATATGGTTCATTATATTCGTTTCTTAGTCCAGCGACGCCAGTGTTAATTTTTTGTTGGAAAATAATGCAAATAATGTAATAAATTTTGATATTTTAGAACTTCTACACGATTAGCGTTCGCTATCAGGTCGAGAGAATTGCAAGTTACATTAACCTCGCGGCTTACAACAGAAAATAGTATTGTGTTTTGGCTACTCCTAAGAAAACTGCCACATAAAGAATGTACGGGCCATGAATTGAAAAGAAAAAAAACAAAATTATCATTCTGTTAGAAATTCCTTCTATAAGAAGAAAGAAGATGGTCAAAAAGTGGAGGAACGAGTTGCATTCTATTAAATTCATAAGATATGAAACATGATCGCTGATGAAAAACTGTGTGGCTTCTATTATTCATGTCTCTAACGTTCTATTCAGCCATTCTTTCATAAATTTGTTGTTATATTTCTTTCCCTCTCATCTTATAAGGTTTCAACGAAATTCTCGTATATAGGTGGAAGATCTGTGAAATCTTGATTAATTATCAACTTTAGGTTTATAGAGGAAGGAAAAACGTCGTGACGTTGAAAAAGCCGTCATATACTTAAATCAAAGACATCATATGTTATTTTACAGTCAATCATTAGTAGTAATTCATTTACATGTAGCCCATGTTTTACTTCTATGAATAAAGCTCGTAATTCCAGAGCAATGAACGCCATCCGAGCAGGAATGGAGGAATGGACAAGCAAAACATGTATCCGGTTCAAGAAGAGGACAAATGAACGAGCTTATGCCAACTTCAAAATTGGCTCTGGGTAATGAGCTCTTTAAAATCTTAACAGCTCTTGCAAGATGACCCTAACAACACTAAGAAGAGTAGCTCAGATTTTCGTATTCCTTAGGCACGACTGTGCAAAACTAAAACGAATAAATAAACAGACGATGTATGAAAAAAAAATGATGAAACAATCATTAAAACAATCGAAAAAAGAATTCAATCGACAGCTATTAAGGATTAACCCTTAAACTCTACGAGTGACAAGCATCTAATTTCTCCTTACAATATCACTACTGAAGCACTCGTCAAAGTCACGAGAATAAAAGAAACGATCACCAACTTATGAAGATCTTACGTGTTAAACAAATTCTCTTTAATTGTTTGCACCTCAGAAAACGAATAAAGAAAAGTATGGAGAATTTGCAAACATATCTAAAGGTTTTTAAAGGGCTAATCAGTCAGTCTGTCAGTCAGTTAATCAATCCATCGATATTATGAATCAAGTTGATTAATTTTGTTTGATTAATCAACAAGCCAGCAATTCAATTCAATCTAATCATTGTAATAACTAGGATAACTGGGGTTGATAACAGAGAAAACACAGATAGAAAAGTGTGAAACGTTACTATTTGGTGTCATTTTCAGATGTTCCTCGTACGTAGGAAGAACAGGCAGTCGTCAAGATATTAATCTCGCCAGCGGATGTTGGTACAGAGGAATTGTAGCTCACGAAATTGGTTAGTAAAGTAAACAAAATAATAATTCAGAAACATGCCCCCGCTGTTTAAAGGGTGGATAACACTATTCATTGGACCAAAACCTGTCCGATGGATGGTCTAGCCGGTTTTTCTTTTTCTACCCTTATCCGTTGGATATCGTAGAAATATGCTCTGCAGTTGGCTACAAACATCGTGAGAAGTTACTCTAGGACATTCCTCTACAACCAGTTATAGTGACAACAACGTGACTAAAATTGAATTTGTTTACTTTTCAGGGCATGCCTTGGGTTTCTACCACGAGCAGTCTCGTCCTGACAGAGATAGTTACGTCACAATTATGTGGGACAACATCATTGAGAGTAAGTTCTAAGTTAGATTGAAAATAACAAATTATGATACTAGGTTCAAACTATACCTTCTACCGACAAATTCATTGTGTGTATAAAATCACAGCTTATCATTTACCAAGTGCAATATCGAGTCAGTTTAGAATCACAACATCAGATCACAAGCACCAAAAGAAAAATTCATCGAAATTAAATGGTTATATAATATATTAGACTTGGCTGGTTGAGAGGATTCAATCAATACACGTTATGAACCATCAAATATTTTTTGATGGCGCACTATTGGTTTAAACACATCAAGTGACTGAATATTCCTCTGCTAAAGCTTGAGTATATCCAAAGATATCACCTAGTTCACATTCCCCAATTTTTTAAACCTTACGTCCACTACGATAAGTCTTCATTTAAAATTTGATTCAAAATGAGAGAGCGTTTTGTGGTTGTTACAAAAGAAGGAAAATAGCTTTGTTCATTAAGTCGTACCAGAGGACACTTGAAGGAAAAAAAATCTTACGCAAAAAATAGTTAGCTAATCGCGTACATTTTTTTACGCTCTTTGCAAAATATTTGAAGGATAATAAACAAAAAAGCCTCTATTTAGTGCGAATAAAAGCTCGTATATTTGTTGTTGGACATTATTTTTTCCTCGATGCTTACGGTTTTCCTCGAGCTTCGCTGTTGGAAAACTGTTCACAGTTTGAAACAAATAATGTCCAGTAACAAATATCCGTGCATATTTTAGCGCCAAATAGAGGCTATTGTTTATAAAGCGTGTGAAGTTGACATGATAAATACAATATCTACAGCGAATACTTCATTTCTCATTTTGAGTACAAAGTCGACCTGATGTCTAAGCGAATAAAGGGGGAAAGTTTCTAAAGAAACCGTAGTGCTGCGTCGGTGGGAGAGTATAGCAGGTAATTTATTTAGTGTTAACAACTGAGTTGAAAAAGTAAATTGCTCTGACGAAGGGCCAATAATCGCTCTGACGAAGGGCTAACGCTTGAAAAGTCAGCTTTTTTTCTCTTTACGGTGGCCAATTTACGTTTTCAACTCAGTTGTTAACTCTAAATTACCTGCTAGTTTCCAAGCCCCTCGTCTATGAAGTGTTTTCATAATTTTACAACCTTAGTGAGAAACTCAAAGAAGTGGAACGCTTTTAAAAATGTATAATTATCAATACATCGGTTTTTCAACATCGTCCAATGACTGCTTGATTTAATCGACGTCCTCGAATATAAAAATGATAAATGCCTACTCCGATTCATTAAAAGGAACGAGCACGAAAGTAGCCTTATCTCACAAGATTTTTAAAATTTTTCTTTTCTGCTTAGGAAACAAGTTTAATTTCAACAAATACAATCGAGGAACTATCGACAGCCTGGGAACCAAGTATGACTATGGAAGTGTGATGCATTATGGGAGCAGGGCTTTCAGCAAGAACGGAAGACCTACTATCGTTGCCAAGCAATCAGGGGTTAGTTTAGGTGTAGATGCTATCGATCCATTGCATTAATGAATATCAAAGCGGCAAAATCAGTTCAAGGAATTGCAATTCAATGCATCATTACTCACAAGCGGCTCACATTTAAAAACAACAATGTATTGTATTACCAAGGCATGGTACAAAATACATGTTTTAATGATGATATTTACGGTGAATGACACAGACATACTCGGAGGAAAAAAAGAACTCCAGGCGCTCCCAAAAGGATCACATGTTTGCTCGTTCCATCAGCTAAGCAGCTTCGTTAAATTCAATTATCTATAATTCCATTTTGAAAACAAAAGGTGCTATGAAATAACATGACATTTTTCGTCGAAAGACAGAACCTACGATCTATTATCCTAAACATATTTATATACTTAAATCCTAGTTTGAGAAAAAATCAGGCAGGCACTTCCACATTTGATCTACCGAACTGCATCAAATATATTTTCTTTTATGTGTTCATACTGGGATAGATAAAGTAAAGGGCACGTCCTATTAGTCAGTCAGGTAAAGAGAATTTGAATGCCATTTAGAAGTGTGCATGGTCAGACATTTAAAAACCTAACCAAAACAAGTAACACAGACATTTTTCAAATGTCATGAATACTCACTTAATCACAGAAGCATATAACTTATAGAACTATGTTGGATGCTTCTGATCATTACTATCGCTGATTGTCGTTAAGCCTTTTTTTTGTCTTGGTTTGTTGTGTTCTATCATTTTATTTTCCCAGGTAACACTTGGTCAGCGACGGGGAATTAGTGCAACAGACGCACAGCAGATGAATCTTCTGTACAAGAGCCAGTGTGGAGGAGGAGGAGGAGGAGGAGGAGGAGGAGGAGTTGGTGGTGGAGGGGGAGGTGGAGGTGTGTAGTAATGATTGCTTACACAATCATCGCGCAACCAAAAAAAAAACATGAAAAAAAAATATGAGACCGTTCGTTGTTTATCACTGGCGGGTGGGGGTTGGAAGATTTTAGGGGGGCGGGATCACAAAGTGTTTAGGGGAAACGGAGGGTAAAGTGCCAGTAAGAGATAATTGGCATATTACAGCGCTTGATGGGAGGATCAAGTAAATTCTTCAGCTTCGATAAGTCATGATATCATGTCCAACCTCATCCAATAATTGCTTTATTTCATAGTATTATCGGAATTATATGGGTACTACAAGATACTTCTTTCATGCAATATTTTGGAGAAAGATGGAAACAGATCTATAAGTCCATATAGGGAAACAAAAATAATGAAAAAGGCAAACGAGACTTTTCTAACACAAAGCTTATTTCATTAAAGGAGTTCTATTGATTTACCATTCTGTTTAGATCTTGATCAAAAAAAGGTGCACGCCTTTGAATTACCGTGATATAATGCCTTACGTAGTTACCCATAATTCCTATAAGATAACTTGGTTCTGACAGCCCTAAAGTAAGCAACCTTGCCACTTCAACGTTTACGCCATACGTAAGCTTTTGACAGCTGTGTCTATCCTGACAAAACGTCCATTGTTATCTTTTAGGAAATTGTCAAGATAAGGATAACAGATGTAGCGGATGGACGAGATATTGCAGCTATCACCGATACGTGAGGGCAAACTGCAAGAAGACCTGCAAACTATGTTAATCAGCAACGAAAAAAAGGTTACAATGCATTCTAAAATAAACTTTAGCTGTCTTAGAACTTACAAACTCTTGCACACCTCCGACGTGGTCAGAAGAAATGCTCAATGGAATCTAACACTAACATCTAACTAACACTTTCCTGAACTTCCAGAGTCTTCCTTTCAAAGAAATTTTAATCTACCAACAAGATCATTAAAAACAGTACCTTTAAGTATCAACTTTGCTCATTTCGCTCTCAACCATTTCCACATAAGGAGGAAAAAAAATTGAATATATGATGAACAATATATTTTTACAAAACAGTAAGTCGTAAATTTGGCTTACAATTTACTTCCGCGCAGAATAAGTTGCCTATCTGGGTCCTGATTAATGAAATATCACTAACGCTGGAGGCTCGATCCATGCGAAAACACTGGAGTTTCGATCAATAAAACCTAGCTCCATCGTTAGCTATGTTTGGAAACAGGCCTAGCCTATTGCAACCTTTTTCGAGCGTTTCAAATTCTCTCGTTAACAATTCTACCCATTTATTTATTTACTTTTTTTTATAGAGAAACTAAACAGGAGAAGTGATAGTTTGTGAAAATTTTATATTTAGCTGACTTAAATTTTCATATATATTTTCTGAAAGTGCGCATGACCCGATTTTAACTTATTTGGTTTTGCTCTCAATGATACCTAAACATTCAATGCTGTTTTCCCTTGCAGGTCATGTGCCATTTTCGGGGAAGTGCTGTTGTAGTTTAAATTTATGTAGAGTGGGTTAATAGAATAAAACTGGCAGAAAAACCTCATTTTGATTCCCATATGTCTTTTCTTCTCAACTTCGAAAAGGAAGCTGGCTCTCAAATGCTGCTCTCACTTGATTTGATTCCATTCATGCCCACCTTTATTTGCAAGTAATTCCTGGTTGTCAAAGCAAACAAGAAGGTAATGAAAATAGTAAACGACCAAGTGCAACAGAATAATAGAATCATAGATGCCTTGCTTCTTCTCGGTCGCGTACTAAAAAGTCAATGCGTAATTGTGATCACACTGCTAAAGAGTCTCAAAGCACTGTATTTTGTAAGTTAGCGTTATTTTTTTTTGGGGGGGGGGAGGGATGCGAAATGAAACGGTCACAATTCATTGGTGATTTCACATTGGCCTCGTAGGAAATTTATATGAAATTGGTGTGCTTGTCCAAGAATGAAAAAACGCGGTCCGTGTCCTACACCAAAGAATTCCGTCAACGCTAAAAATTATATTTTCGTAAGATTGATTACAGCAATAGGCGATATCAAGAACTCAATCCAAGTTAACCGTTCGCCGCGCGCCAGTTCTCATCTAAGATCTGATTCCTTTTTCCTGTTCGATTCCTGTTTTGGAAACACAAAGGTTCTTGGGTCATCACATTTGTTTATCGTAATATCGAACCCAAAATTTGGTTTTCGCGCACGTAAAAGCGAGGAAGAATGAAAAACTGAGAAAAACGTGAATCGATTTCCCTTCACATCGAGGAGAATGAAATCTAATATATACTGAAGCGGCTACATGGTCGGAGTTATAGGTGTGGCTTCACGCAGAAGAATGCAAAAAGGATTGCCTCCCTTTTAATGTCATTTGAATCGTTTCGGGAAAGACCGTTTTTTCCTCCAACGAAATGTATTCGTATAAATAATTTAATATGCTAAAAATTATATGAGTATATTCATTTTGATATAGAAAATTCGTATCACGAAATGTTCCATTGTCCCACTGTACACCTAAGTACAATAATTTCAATGCTCCAACATTTTAAGCATGAGAAGCTAGTAAAAATGGAACGAATGTAGATTCACCTGAACCTTTTTTCTTTAAAACCAGTTAAGTCTTTTAAATAAATATTATTAGCCAGTGTCAACATCTACAACGATTGTTTTCCTAAGAAAAGATAAAGAAATGAAAATAACTCGAAAGCAATGAAAAGAAATTCACGGCGAATAGTTTTCACAGATTTAAGCTGTTGAAATATGATGATTTTAAATGTACGGCGGCTAAAGACTGAAGATATTTTTTTCAACGATATAAAATTTAGGACAACGAAGCATAGTACTGTGACATTCAAGCAAACGTTAACTTGTAAGCCTGATGAAGTTGATAAGTTGCCTTTTTTCTTAAAAGGCCTCAAATTAGCGAAAGGAATACTAATTAAATTTCCCATGAGAGAGTATTGTCCAAAGTAAAGTAAGTCAACAATTTGAGATATTTACATGATTATTTACAGACTCTTACACAATGCATTGCTGTAATTGTCCAAATTTGCAAATACATTTTATTCAATTGAGGTGAAGTAAGCCTCTTTGGGTATATTGTAAGGGTATTGCGAATGATTTTCTGAGTAGCCTGGAAAGTAAGTGGTTATTATTTTAAGGCGCAAATTTCTAAAGATGTCAATGGAGTTGCGGCTATCTCTCTTACTTCTTTTTAATGGGTATTCACAATGACTTTCCAAGTCCCCAATGGACATATTTCAGCTGTAGCAGGTGCCATTTTCCTCGCACAAAGGAATGTGTTTGATTTTGCCAGTAATTTCAGCGCACTGCACTAGTACGATGATCACGCGCTAAAAGCAATTGAAATAAAGTGTTACACTTTTTCTCACAATGCAAAACAGAAATGCAGTGTTTAAAATGCTGTTTAAACGTGGATTGACAAATGACAGCTACAGAGGAGTCAACTACAGTAACAGGAATTTGCTTATAGTCGAAAACAATATCAAACTGAAGACTTTTGTTACGCGCAGGTGAGTTGACAAATGTTTCCATAAAACCTCAACTCTGAGTGAGCCCTTCACTCTGTTCTAACTAGAACAAGATCACCATGAAGTGGCTTGGTACTATTTTGATTTTTGGAGTGGTCCTTGTTGTATCAGAAAACGCTGACGGTAAGTTTTTGTTTTTTCAAGCATGGAAGTTAGTTTTTGTATGAAAAATATAAAGTTTTTGTTGACGTTTTTAATTCATGACTTTATTCAGAAAACGTATCCAAAGCTTCTACCATATATTTAAATAAGTATAATTGTAAAAGCTTTACGGTGTGCTGAGAGAAACGAAAACGGAGATCCGTCAGCAACATGACGATAGCGATGATGGACCGAGAAGTGTAACAATCGGGTTAAGCTGAAATTCTGAAGGTCCATCATTGTTCAATTTCAATGTCCCCTCAATTTTTTCCCATTGTAGAAAATATCGGCATCGATGATCCAGATGTCTACGAAGGAGACATGATCTTAGATCCAGATCAACGCATGGCGATTGAACTTGGGTTGGATGTGGACAATCCGTTTGGAAGAGGCTCCACTATAAATCGACAGTGGCCTGGTGGTGTGATGCACTACGTCATTGACTCTAGTCTCTGTAAGTTCGTCATTAGTGTGTTCTAAAAACAAACGAGAAATAGTGTGAAGTGTGAAATCATATTCTTCCTTTACGATTTTAAAGTGGCAAATAGTGGTGTGTCCGTCGCACACGTGTTATATCTATTGTGATAGACATAAGTTTGAGTGTAAATTGGTGGGGTAAAACAAACACGTGGTAAGTAAATGTAGAACGAAAAGTTGAACGTAGTAAGTAGAACAGAACGTTCTATCAATAGGGCCAGATAAAAGACAGTTCAATTATTCAAAAACGAGATCATTCCCCAATAAATTACGACCCCATTCCGTAGCAGGAAACAAACAAAATGGTAAGAGATTAGCGCAGTAAAAGCAATATAACTGTTCTGAAAAAACCAGAGCAATGATCAATCGCAACAATTCAGAAATATCCTTTCTTAACATAAAATACACATTTTCTTCTGACCCATAATTACAGCCAGTGACTCCCGCGCTAAGGCGGCGATTAAGGCAGGAATGGAACAATGGACAAAGAACACTTGTATCCAGTTCAAGCCGAGAACAACGGAGTCTAGCTATGCGAACTTCAAACTAGGCAAAGGGTGTGTATATATATATTTATATATTTATCTTTAATCAAAGCAAAGCGATAGTGAAGAATGAATTGAAAATTTCAATTTGAAAACTCCATCTCGAAACAGAAAGCAATACAAAAAGCAATCCTTAACAACCTTCACATCTTTGTGACTTATTCTCTCCTTTCAAATGCAAACACGTTTCTGGGTTTTTGAATCTATTTTAAAAGTCATTTGCGACGACACAAAATGACGCAAAACGTCCTTGTTCCCTGTTTAGTCTAACGAGATATGGTGTGTGATATTCCGTGGAAGTGTTGAGATTTTCTGATATGTTGTTGAAGTTCATTATGGTGGTCGATTATTGAGAACTACTTCATGAAAATTCTATGGCTGCGCTAACGATTTGAACCATTGATTCCAAATTTTTTCCAGGTGTTCATCATATGTTGGGAGGACGGGACGCAAACAAGACATTAACCTTGCTCGTGGATGTTGGTACACTGGAATTGTCGCCCATGAAATTGGTAGGTGATCCATAAGTCTTGTTCTTAATAGTTCTTGTTCTAAAATAGAATATGGATGGAGCCTTTCAGGGCAACTGAGCTGTGACACAAACTAAATGACCACTTAATGTACAAAAAATTCGATCAAAAGTACTATTAGCATTGATTTTGGTTTCGCCTTAAGTGACCGTTTAATACAGGTTGGCGACAATGCGAAAAAAGTCGTTGGGACTCAGTAAAGGGTAGTCGCAACCGCTTAAAATAGGTGGAAATTACACTGTTTGAGGGGAAAGAATTTCGGGACTTTAACAAATGACCCCTTTATACAAGATGTCCGCTTAATACGGTGCCGCGTAACACAGGTTTGACTGTATTTCGCGTATTAATTCCCTGCTACGAAAACAATATCATAATGTATTATAACATTTTTGGTTAGTCAACGAAGCGGGATATGAAACAGCCACTAATTTTCGAGAAGTATAATTCCGAACCTTGGCCAGGAACATTGTAAGTTGATACCATAATGTTGTTGTGTATGCGGCAAGGGTTTGGTAACTGCTCCATGTAGGAGTACTGATACTTGTGTCGACTTCAAAATTTCTAAGAAAGTATAACAAACTTAGGCAAAAGGCAAACTTCCTTTAATTCAAATTAAAACATGCAACGATGATAAAGAAACGAAAATCTTTTCCTAGGTCACGCTTTGGGCTTTTACCATGAACAATCCAGACCTGACAGGGATGCCCACGTCACAATTATGTGGGACAACATAATCGAGAGTAAGTAACTACATTACTGTGCAAAAGTAATACAAAGAATTATTGTCGAATATCATGCTTTAGCAAAAACCAGAAAAGTGAGTACTGCTTTTCATTCCCGCTGATTGGCTATTTCGGAAGTGAGTAGCAAGTACTATTCACCCCAAGTAGCCGAAGAGGCAATTCGAGCGTCAAAAGTAAATGTCCGACCATTATTTCGGTATATTGAGACAAATAAACTGTTTCTGAGGTGTCTGTTTGGTACTTACTAAAACAATTATTCAAAAATAAAAATAAGTTATCACTTTTCACCTCCACTTCGATGAATATTATTCTTCCCAGATAATGCGGAAATACGGCGATATATCGCGAAGTGAACCGAGACGCTAAAAAGCTGAACGCTATGACATTCCCTCGATATCTCGGGAATATCGCCGTTTTAGCATAATACCACTACAACGACGCAATGTAAAACGCGGGACACGTCATCACGATATATAGGTCAAGCGAAATACCGCTGCTGCGATTTCGATATATCCATCTAGTGATGTATCGCCACAGCGGTTCATCTTTCGGAGAGAAATCTGTGCCTTTTGTATTTAGTTCGAGCAATATTCAAAAGCGTCCCTTCCCTTAGGTTATACGAAAATTAAACCTTTACTTTCAATGTCATAAAAAAGCAATATAAAGTGACAGCGTGGTCAAAAGGTAATCACGATTAGGTGGCATAATCATGTGTTCCATATTTATAACGGAAAGAAATGCATAGTGAAATCATTACGCGGAGATTCCTTTAAGACCACAAGAAATCCGTAAAGCTTGTTAGTCAAAATGGAACCTTATTAGACCCGAATTTCAGCTGATAAATACATTATAAAAGACTCCTAATATAAGATAGGGGTAAAAAGCAAATTATTAAATACGTTTTAAAAACGTTAACAACCTCAACAATTTACGCCTCTTAAGATTTCTTCTTTCACTCTAATCAGTTTCAAAGTCGTTCCCTACACAAGAAATGTGGCACAAAACTGCAGAGCCCGGAAAAAAGGAAACCATAAATACTGATTGTAAAAAATTTTTTCCTAATGACGAAAACTTTATTCATTTATGTTTTCAGAGAACAAGTTCAATTTCAAGAAGTACTCCAAATCCACTATTGATTCTCTCAAAACCCCGTATGATTACGGAAGTGTGATGCATTATGGAGGAAGAGCTTTTTCCAAAAACGGATTACCAACAATCGTTCCTAGACAATCCAACGTACGTCGCACAAAAACTTTGTTTAATATACAATATTCAATGAAATTAGTATAATCTTTGCCTCAAAGTTACTTTTACTGATCGTATTATCAGATAGCATTACCATACAGTGATAAAGATTGCAGTTGCGGCGAACTTTTCATGGGATATCGGTAATGTAGACAAAGTTAAAACAGGAGACTCTAAGATTTGACCTAAATGGGGCACCCAAGATGCAAAACCCCATGATACCAGAGATATAACTTTCCCACTGTTTGCATTAATAATAACGATAGAGAAACGGCGAATTTGCACTTTGTTGTTGTTGCAGTGTAAGAGTAAATACGCGAGAACTTTCGTGCGAATGACTGTCTGTCGCGTATTTCTGTTCAAACGTTTAAAACGAGTCCTCATTTAAAGTGACTGACTCGAAATTTAAAGTTCGTCGAAACAACAAGCGTCCCGATTATTTGAATTACTTTATTCGCCATACATCTTGATCTCATTAGTGAGTTTTGTACAAATTTTAACATGACTTGTATCAGGTTTTGGTCAATATCTTCTTTTTCACAGGTTAAGATTGGTCAGAGAAAAGGCATCAGTAAAATAGACGCTCAGCAGATGAATCTCCTCTACAGTCAGCAATGCTCAGGTAGTGTTGCAATGTGATTAGCCAATTTGTCGTTGTCGATAAGAGCACAGACAGTAGCTGCTCGCGTCAACGTGTCACGCAATGGTCACGCACTGACCTCGTTAGTCCACAATATTTTGACTGCCGTGATGACGAATATCGTTGTCAATAAGAGTACACACCATGCTAAACCACTGTAATTTGCAAAATCGCATCACGGCCAATGGCTTACGCCAGTGAGAAGCTGTAGTTTGCGCGGTTTAGCATTATCATATCACGTTTAAAATTGTGTGAATCGATGAACGGCCTGTTGCGGTTTTCTTAAGCTAATATCTACTTCATCATCGTTTTTGTGATAGGTGGCAGTAGCTGTGTAGACAAAAACACGAATTGCCCTGGTTGGACCAAATATTGTTCCACTAACAACTATGTGAAACAGAACTGCAAGAAATCGTGCAACATGTGTTCATAAACTTCACAAAGGTAAAACAAAAGGGTACGTTGGACTTTAAGTCATATTTAATGTTCATGTTTTGAAATTGCCTTATAAGGGTAGAAATGTAAAATACATCTATGATGACTATATGCATACTTAATTAGCGGATGTGTATCTCCCTATGTAAGATTAAAAGAACTCTACAAGCGTTCTAGATATATTGTCATGAGCATGACTGGCTACGCTACTCGCTAAATATCCGTGATAGCAAGTATGTGAAGTGAGTAGCCAAACAGTGTACGGTTGTAAACAAAATGAAATAAAAACACCAACCTGCATTGTCGATAAGTTTTCCACGTTTGATAGATTTACACTAAAAACAATTAGATCATTTGTTCTCGATTACTTCGCAAGGCAGCTGATTCGAGCTTCGCCTTCATCAACAATCACGCGATAGAGATCTTGAGCCTATAATCCTATTCAAAGAAGAATAGGCTATGACAAATGTAGGCATATGAGGTTGTTAAAAGGTGTAAATACTATTTAATCCTTTTGTAGCCTTCAGTATTGTTTGCTATGGTAGAAGAAAGGTGATATAAGCGATTTGTTCCAAATGAATATACTTTTCCAGTTCAGTAATTGTTTATTCAGCGATACACTAAATGGCTTCAGCCAGGGCCAGGATCAATAGAGAACCAAGTATAAATCTTTTTCAGCATCAACCTTTTTTTTTTTTTTTCTTTTTTTTTTCAGGCTGATTGAAGCTGGATGTAATGTCGCTCAGTCTTTTATGTGTGCCCATCTATCCAATGAATGAGAATAAAAGTAATTTACCATAAAGTGAGTTATTCTGCGTTGCGATCAATTGAGCATGCGCTTTTTTAAAGAGCAAAGCCAAAGGTGCAAACATAAAACTCTTTGTTCGAAAATTCGGTTCATCCGAAGAAAGTTATTGCTTTCACATTTTGGCTCCCAACATTTAAACAAACAAAACAAAAAAATACATCAAAACTGATGAAAAAGTAAAACAAAAATACTTGAGAAAAAACGCAAAATAAAAAAAAAAAAACTCAAAATGAAACAAAACCAAACCAAACCTCATCATAACTCGATTCTCCTTCTTCAATAGCATTCCTCTGAAAAGGTCTCTGAGAATATTTCCTTTTGGTTAGTTTCGTCTGCTCAAACAGTAAGCAGCTTTTGTATTGGTGTTCCCAATTAAAATAAGAATTTCATATAAAAAAAAACCCGGCAAATTAAGCAGTGGAGGATGCAGTTATCTACACAGAAATATCAGTATTTTGGTTTTTACTCGACACTTTGTATTTTAAATAAACGCAATTAGTCTTCCTTATAATCATAACCGAGAAAGATGTATCGAACAAGACTGTTGTTATGATAAATTTATTTGACGGTTTTTATTTGAATTGCACACTAAATCACAGGAATTGTTATTTAAGCTAATGATTGGACAAAACTATTTTTCTTTTTTTATTTAAACAACTGTTTTAGTTCAAATTTACATGTTAGTTGGATACATCATGCTACGTGTGAAATTGTCGGAGAGCGCCCTAGTGGGAATAAAGTTTCTGAGTTGTACAACGTCGTAAAAAATCAAAAAAGGCCCCTCGATTTTTAGATTGTAGTGGAATCATAAGAAAGAAATAGAGGATCCTTTATAAGTATTATATTTAGAAAAAGCCCCAATTTCACTTTAGCTCAAAAAAGTGGGAAATATCAAAAGTAAAATACCTTTAACAGGCTGCCACAACTAGTTTTCTCATTTTGCTTTTATCCCGTTTTTATTGTCGCTTAAAGTAATTATTATCAGCACTGTAAGCACATGGTTTTGTGTTGCTTCCTCTAACTTAGCATTCCCTCAGGCTTGTTTAGAAGGTTCCGGCCTTTCATCAAACTGTTTCCCCTCAAGTTTTTCGCAATACCATTGCTCATACCTAAAAAGGGGCTATGCTCTGAGTCTACGGATGTAGGTCAGAAAAAAAGGGAGTGTGGTCAAATACTCGTATCTTATTTGTATTGATATCTAGGGCTTCTTAACCGCAATTTCTTTATAAAGCGGCGGGAAAAGAGCACTGTCAGGTTTAAGTGTTGATTAATTGTTGAAGAAAGAGTAAAAAACAAACAAAAAGGAAACAACGGGAAGATAATTAAAAGACGTCATATCACCTATAGGATAGCATGTCGATGAAATTAGAGCTGGATTAGACGAATTGAATTGAGATATCGATCTTTTAGTTAGGCGTGTTACGAACATAAGTTATCTAGCAGTCTGTTCTGAAAAGACAGTTATCACCAAGTTTAATTAACGTAACACTCATCTTGCGTAAGTTTGTCGCCAGTCCAGTTTCCGCCGCAATCTTGACCTGTCGATATCAACTTCATGATGTAAGTGCTAATGTTCCCACGGTCTTCTTGCGTATTCCAGTAGACCGGAGATGTTTGCTCTGATACACTTGCGACGCTAGAATTTGTTGATGAAATGTACTTTAAAGGAAATACTGTGCGTACGAAATTTCCCGCTATTCTGTTTGCAAGCACAGTCAAAAACGTTTGACCTCTCGAAATCGAAAAGTTTGTCTAAATTTGTATCGCTAAAATACTAATAAATACCAGAAAAGTGTAGCTAAAAGAAAGCAGAACGACCCAATAAAATATTGATGAATAAAATGTAATTCTTAATTTGTAGGATACCGTCCATCAATTTTTGGCCCAAAACGAAATATTGCTCTTGCCGAAACGGTAAATTTGCGGTTGCCTGTATATGCATTAGTGGACATCAATATTAGCTATTGTCGATACCAGCCTGTAACTGGTTGACACTCTATATAAATTCGAGATGCGGCCTTGAGATTTCACTTTAAGACAACAGATTTTCACAGGTATACAGTTTATGTTAAACTAACTCGACATGAAGTGGTTGGTAGCTCTTGCGTTGTTCAGAACAGTTCTCTGCGCACCACATGGCCATACTGCTGACGGTAAGCTTGAGGAATCACAGAGGCTATAGAAAATGTCAAATCTGTCATCATGAACATAATTTTATCATTAATTTTTTAACCCTAGGGGTTTTGGTCAGCAACATCTCTTTTATGAACAGTATTAACATTAAGACCATCAAGTTATGCGAGGTTAAAAGGTTGAAATGACCTCCACTTCTCAAAATAACTGAAAAAAACTTATAGTCTAAAAGCACAGGAAAGTTTTATGAGAGTAGACAAGCCAGATGTGTTACGGATTATCGTTACAACCTCGCTGAATAATTGTCTAGGATACTAACGCATCTGTTTACATATCTTAAAAATGGCAACTGGTCGAACCTGCTCCCATTAAGCAAGCGAGAAAACAAGTCAAAGATATCCATTGTTTTGCTCGGTTTTTTTGCCTTTTTTCTTTTTTAACTATAGAGATATAGAATGATTCATCAGAAATTATCTCAAAAGAACTCGTCTAATGATTTGAATGATTTGCTCCAATGGTATTGCGCACGTGACAAGCGTACATAGGCATAAACATAACTGTCGGATTTAAGTAGTGTTGACTCCCAAAAGTCTACGGCAAACCAGTTGGATGATGATAATGATAATGGCTAGTGCACGTATTTCACTCCGTTTGAATACTGACAAGGAAAAAACATAGTTGCAAGTTGCCGTAGAATGAATTTCAATTTCATCCTGCAAGCGATCGGGAAAATCTGGTTGACTTCCTGCACTTCACTTAGTTTCTCGTCCAATCTACGTGCGGCACTTACACCTTTCGCTATAAAAATAATCATAACGATCACTCAAATCCCTATACAAACAACTTCAATTCAAAGTGCGACTAAAGTAAAAAAAAAAAAAGGTTGTCTTAAATATACAAATTCCCTTAAGATTCGGGCTTGTACGTGCCATTCTAAAAGCAGTTCTTGTTTTCTTTCGAAATGACCGGCTGTCCCTCGTGTTTTATGTTGGGAGAATTTATTTCAAATTAATTCCAGGCCAAGACGAGATGACCTTCTTTGCGATATATCGAGGAAAGCGTGACAAGCGACATAGATTTTCAGCAAATCTCAATGTCAGCATTAAGTCTATTTACAAAGCGAAGGTGGCTTTCTGCTAAATGTTGCATCTCACGAGCAAACCAATCTTGCTTGTTTTTGGAACAAAATGAAGAGTACGGTGGTTTGGTTAAAAGTTCAAGGACAGCCTCAATATTTAATTAGTTAATTCAAGTATTAGTTAAAACTGAAATATTAATCGATAGAGTTACACGGTCGGTATCTCTAAGGGTTGGAATGTGTAACACACCACGGATATCGCATATTTTCATCGGAATTTCCGGAAAGATATTAGATAGATCTATCGGAAGGAAAGACGATTTCTTTGCCCAAAAAATGCAGAAACTATCACATTCCTACTCAAACTTCTTAAAGGAAGACAGTTTCCCAAGCCATAAGGATATAAAAACAATAAGAGCAGAATAATTATAAGTCTTATTGTGAGGTCCAAGTCTCTGATATATCGCCTGCTATATCACGCGTTTAGATGAGATTAAGCTATCTTTATTTTCATCATTTTTCAGAAAATGAGGGTATTGAAAGCAAAATCCTAGTTGAAGGAGACATGCGTCTTACAAAAAAGCAGGTGTATAATATCGAACACGGACTGGATGTCGACAGCTCTCGAAAACGAGGCTCAATAGCAGATAACTCTCTATGGCCGAATGGATTGGTACCCTATGAAATCCACCCAAGTATAAGTAAGTTCATAGTAAGTCTGTAATTCTCTGTAATGGATTCTCTGTGACCCCAGGTATATTTATTTTCAAGGTTAACCCTCGGAAGTGCATCTAAACTCATACCCCCACCGTGGTACGAAGTTATAAGGGTGCGGTGGCGGTAGTAATGTCATCCAACATGGCGGGCTGTTTTTCCATTATAATTTTTGTCTCGTCATGCCCCCCTCCCCTCCCCTCCCCCTGTTTGTATGTCCAGGGTGAAGCGCACGTTTGGCTCTATAACAACGAAACAAAAATTT